AAATAGGGCCTATTTTGGGCCATTTGGAACCCTAGGGGTAATTGGAGCCCCTCAGCCTTGAACCCTGGACAGGCTTCGTTTTTCTTGCTTCTACAGCTCCCTAAACCCTAGACCCTTTAACCTCTTTGTAATTAGAGCCCCTAAGTTGCCCTAAACCTAACCCAGAGGTCCAAGTACCCAATAATTAGGTACTTGGGTTTTGGGAAATTGTAATTATAGTACAGATTTTGGGTAAGTATATGACTATGAGGTACTTGGACCCTTAGGGTAAGGCTTCGTCCTTCTTGCTTCCGAGCCCTCAGGTGCCTTGACGTGCGTGCGCGCACGCTTTCCTCGCCGATCGAGCTTTGCTTTCTGACCCATTGCCTGAGGAAGACGATCGAAGACTAGGATTTAGGGTTTAGGACCTGAGGTGTGGGTCTGGAAGTTCTACTTCCTTGCTAACTACGCTTGAAGAATGCGCTTTGGCATTCCTTACCCCAAGGGTCCAAGTAGCTGATAATCATATACTGAACCCAAAATCGTACCATTCATGCTAAAAATCAAAGCCGCTATGCAAGGTTTGAAGGGTATCAGCCCGCTCAGAACCCTAAATCCCTAGACCCTAAACCCTTTAGTAGCTTCCATTTTCTTTTCCATTATCCCTATATTATCCCAGTATAGCCCACGGTTTTCCATGTCATGGCCAGCCTAGAGAATGTTGCCTCTTGGAGCCTCTGCTTGTTTCTGCGGGACTGCAAATCAGGACATTTAATGCGGAGCATTATAAACGAAATAGTCATTGCCGCAAAGACACCATACCCCTGCACTTTTTCCTCAAAAGCCTCTGACTGAACGCTGTGCGCGCGTTCAAAGCAGCAAAAAAGTTCGATGTAGACCTCCGCGTTGAAAACTCGATGTGGTCTTGTCTCTCAGTTCTTTGGAGGCAGAGTTCCCCTCCAATACCCATATTGCTTAGCAAAAGCCGTCTTAACCTAAAGCATGGGTATTGGGAGGTAGGTAGTGCTTCTAATAAGGAACCGTATATGAAGTCACATCCCAGTCTGGGCAGTGTGATGGGGCTCTATACCCGTGTGCTTCCCGAACCTTACAACCCAAAGAGTCCATGTAGATATATAGTATACCAAGGCCCTAAAGTAATTATGTGGGAACCCTTTCGGTCCTAAGTATATACTATGATTAGAACTACTCGGACCCTTTGGGAAATATACAAACCCTAGCTGGATCGGACAGTCCAGGTGCGGCCCAAATGGATTAAGCGACTTAGCATCATTCACGTACACCCTGCAGAGCTGACCTGATTCGTACATTTAACAACAACATATAAGCTACAGTCAATATTTCCTACAGAATTTAATGGACATGCGTTCCTTATTACGGACTACATTAGGGACTAGACTAAACTATGAGAGGAACCTATGCTCACATGATCCCTAAAGCCTCACCGCCGTAACCCCAAACCCTAAGCCATTCAGCAGGTTTGAAGAGGGGGAGCACTCTGGCCTGCCCTGGCAACCCAGAGCCTCCTTTCTTCCAAACGCGTCCTGCATGCCATCCAGCGTGTTCCATACCCTAGAAATCCATGTACACAATTATTCCCTACATTGGGCCCTAAAGTCTATAAATAGTACCTACATTGGGCTATTTGGATCTCTAGGGATATCTCCTGAAGTTCGGTCGAGACGTATATCTCCCGTGACTCGGCGGCATACGGTGCATCCCTAGGAGTCCAGGTACCCACATAGTAGGTCCTTGGGTTATAGGTCGTATAAATCTCTATGGGTGGTTGTCAAAATTATGGTCCCTTTTTGGGTACCCTAAATATTAGGGGCCGTTTTATAATGGGGACCCAAAAAGGGACCATAATTTGGACAACCACCCATATAGGGACTTAAGGACAGGAACCCAATTTTTATAGGTAACTGGGCATTCCACAACTCGTCCATTGATGCCTGGTACTCCTGTCCAGGGATGAAGACGTCGGCCCCTGCCATGCCCATGCCAGTTGAGCTAGGAGGACAGCTCTTGGCGCTCTTGCCAGAGGGCTTTAGTGCTTATAGGGTTCAGGATTTAGGGGTTTAGGGTTTAGGGGTTTAGGGGTTTAGGATTTAGGGTTTAGGGTTGAGGATTTAGGGTTTACAGGGTTAAGAGCTAAGGGTTTATAGGGTGTAAGGATTCAAGCCAGAATGAATCAGCAGGCGAGGCTGCAGGTGAATGCACCAAACCCAGACGGCCTCTACAAGTCAAACTTAGGGTTAAGGGTTTAGAGTTCAAGGGTTTAGGGATTAGGGTTTAGGGACTCTAATGCTCAGCCCCGAAAACACTGTGGGTTTCGGGTTTAGGGATTAGGGTGTAGAGGGTTTAGGGGTTAATCCTCGACCCTCAAACAAAACTCCCAAATAACCCGATACAGCACACCAGACAATCCCTACGACGCCCCCAAAATCCTTAACGCCAAGCCCTCCGCCCCAAAACTCAAACCCTAAATCCCAAATGCAAATCCAACCCAAAATCTCAGACCCTAAATCCCAACCACCACATCCCAAACTCTGAGCCCCAAAATCTCAAACTCAACATCTCAAGCCCCAAAATCTCAATCCTACACCCCAAATCCCAAACCCAAAATCCTAACCCAGGATCAAACCCTAAACTCGAAACCCTAGACCCTAATCCCTAAACCCATACCCCTAAACCACAATCCCTAAACCCTTAACCCTAAACCATAATCCCTAAACTCTCATCCCTACACCCTTAAACCTAATCCCTAAACCCTCAACTGCGAGCCAAACCCTACAAGCTGGCCTCCAGATTTCGATCCACGGTCTGCTCCGCTTTGTCAATGTAGCCTAGGGAAACTTGAAATGAAAGGCTAGAATTTAGGGGTTCAGGGGCTTAGGGTTTTGGGGTTCAGGGGTTTGGAGGTGTAGGGGTCAAAATGAAAGGGCCGATCTCGGGTACTTGTCTATTTCTTTATATATATACATGAAGTGTGTGTGTACATATACATATATATGTATATGTACATATATGTATCTACGAATGCAAGGAAGGTTGCCAAAATCCTTGTCACTTTGGGTCCTCTCTAAAACAACCATGACTTTTGGCAACCTTCCATATTCCATACACATGGACATCCGTGGCCGCAATCTCCAGCCATTTACCTGGAGATCATAACCCCTAACCAACCCTAACCCCCAAAATGCCCTAGATCCCAAACTTAAACCATAAACCCTGACCGACCCTGACCCCAATGCCCTAGATCCCAAGCCGATCGTTCTGAATCCCTTGGATACTGCACTTGCGCCTGCGGGTGAAGGAGCCAATGCTTTTTCGTTGTTGAACCGACTAAAACTTTCTCCTCCTTGTAACATACAATACCCAACAATCAAGGGGATTAACCCTACTCCCCTAAGGGTCCAAGGACCCAAATAAAAGGGTTTTAGGGCTCAAATACTATAATCTAAATGGTATTTGGGCCCTAAAACCCTATCATTTGGGTCCTTGGACCCTTAGGGCTGTATGTCAACAAAAAATCTAACTTATCACCTATCGGATTCGCAGCTTGCTTAGCTCCGCACCATGCACCAAGCAAACGTACCTGCTGGTTCTTAGGTCTTACGATCTAGGGGGTAGGTTGGGTACTGCCTCACTCCCTGGCGGTCCTTCTTGGGGGACTTGATACAGCTACACTGTAGATGGGTCTATTGATAGATAGAAATTTGTTATCTCAGGGTTAATGTTTGGGCCAGTATCCAAGGTTTAGGTTAGATACCACACGACGGATTGAAGGTTTCCAGGCTTTAGGGGCTACAGGGTGACGCGGCTTGGCATAGCTTTACCATTGTTCCGTGTTCTTTCTCGTAGGGAGGAATGTTGAGTCAGAAAAGATACACTATTCTCAAGTCTGAGGTAAACAAAATTACAAAATGCCCAATTAGACATGTAGTGCCCTACATCTCCCCATCTTCGAAATTCATCCGCTGTTCTGAAACCAGGCTGCATCGAAATTCCTCAAAACATACTTCCTACACCCCATCTGAGATACCTACTTCTCTAGCCTAAAACCCCTAAACCCCAAACCCCTAAACCCTGAACCCTTAACCCTTACTCCTAGTGGAGAGGGCAGGATGCACTGTCCCAAGCATCCAAGTGCCAACATGTTGGCTTCAGCTACCCCATAATCACAGGATTTAGGTGTGGGCGGTTGAGGGTTTAGGAGATGTTGCAACACTTCCAAAGGACTATGGTATTGGTACTCTGACCCTAAGCATCAAATTCATCCAAAAACCTTATATCGTCGAGTCTTTGGGCCCAAATTCCTGCAAGTATGAACCCGTAGATGCTTGGGGTAAGGTGTAGGACCCCCCCCCCAAGAATCGAACTTATGATGTTGGGGCCCATGGATAAGGACAAGCTCTGGCCATGACATTTGATACTGTTGATGGAAGAAATCTTGCACCATTTAGGTGTATTAAACTAATTACTGTAATTCCCAGGGATTTTAGGACTTAAGGTGGTGCAAGATTTCCTCTATCAACAGTAGTAACCCCTTAGGCTTTGGGGTCGAGGTGCGCAATAATCATTTACTTACCGAAAACCTAGTAGTCTAATCCCGAATACCTCATTATTGGGTACTTGAGCCCTCTGGGAATTGACTCCCAGATTTATAAACCCTAAACCAAAAAAAACTTACCTAGGAAGCTGGGTTTCCTGGCTCCAGAATGCTGATCTGTTTGGACCCTCAGGTTTAATGTATACAACAAAGCCTGGCTACCACAGCTAGGGTTTAGGGTTTAGGATCCTACAGGAATGACGTTAAGGTTTAGGGTTTAGGCACCAATCAGGCCTCTAAATAGGGTCAATCCCACCCAGTACTGGGTACTACAGGGGACTACTGTAGGTATATTGAGGCCCTATTAACTCTACATTAAGGAGCTATTACTACGAGGGGGATTGACCTAAGCTCTATGGTGATTCTGAAAGCACGTTGGTAGGCGCACAGCTTCCGTACGTAGTGGCGATGAAAGCACTCACGCATCTGCGTGCGCGACTTCTTTGTCACGCCAACCAGCACGGTACCTCTCTGCAAAACATCTGCTTTCCCTAACCGTCCATGTACCCACGCGGTTCAGGGTTTGGGGTTTTAAGGCGGGGTGTTGGATTCTAAGTATTATAATCCGCTTAGCTTTTCGGAACCTAGAACCGCAGTGGTTGAATGCTTGGGTTCTTGGAAATTTACATGCAGAACTGCAGAACTGTCATGATGTTACCATGAAGCAGGCGCACTCAACGTAGACCTCTCATGCTTTCATAGCTGCTTCAGAGATGATAATTAGCGACAGGGTCCGAGTACTCAATACTTAGATATTTGGGATTTGGATGCTTTGGATGCTCCTAATTACAGTTAAGTCTTGGTCAAGTATGCGATTATTGAGTACTTGGACCCTGAAGGTTAGGGATTTTGGCTTAGAGTTGGAGGGCCAGGGGGCCTTAGTAAGTGGGTTAGTAATGAATGAGGATACCCGTGGTTAGTATATGGCATCTTTGGGTTATATGTATACTTACTACGCCCCGCCTGACTCTCCAAGGAGGGATTCAGTCACATGTCATGGGATCCTCTTGTCTCAAGCTTCTACCCCAAAGGGTCCATGTAGCTATGTAGTATATACCTGGGCCCTTTCTAGGGGATGGAGGAATGGAGCCTTATACCCGTCCCTGCACAAACCCTAAAGCCGTAGGGTTTACGGCTTAGGTAGGGTGAAGGGAAAAGGGCTTAGGGTTAAGGAGGTCTCTGCTACACCAATCTTGCGTCTTAAAAACTCCCAAGAGTTGTTGTACCAAATCTGTGAATAGGGTCCAGGGCTTGCGGTTTCAAATACATGTATATGTTGTCTCAGCTAAATTGTTCCTAACATGCGCGGGATATGTGGACAACTCGAAGCGCTAGCCGCACACCCGAACGTTGTCATATGAGCCTCAGCTACAGTCTATACTTCCGACATCACGTTGTGGACATGGGTTCCTCACTTGTGACTCTATAAGGGGCTAGATTGTACTAAACTACAGCTGGAGGAGATCAGGGTGTGCGCGGGCATAAACTTACCTACAATACGCATGTGTATGGAAGTTTCCCTATCTAGGGGGAATCCAAAATGGACTATAGTCCTTAAAGATATAGGGACCCAACACAAATACTCTTATCCTTGAGAACCCTCCTTCATATATGGATATTTGTGCATGCAAAACATGTTTGGTACATACGGTCGATACCTAGCATCTTGCATGGCCCTTTACACCTACACCGTTCAATTACAGTGCGCTGGTAACTCTACTTACTGTAGGGTGTCCATCCACCTAAACCCTTAACGTGCAACCCGTACGCCCTTCAACCCTGCATATGGGACTCAGGGCCTCAATTTGCTTCAGAAGAATTGACCTTCAGGGACAGGCCCTGACAAGTACTGCTTAATCATAGTCCCACACTACGTTGCTTCGGGTTTACCTGGAACCAGCATGTTGTCCTACAAATTTGTAGGGTATACCCCCAAGAAGGTGGGACATCCAGTGTCCGGGTAGGGCTTAGGGCGTATAGTCCTACACTATACGGTCCCACCGACATCCCTGCAGGCCAACCCCTTGTTATAAGTTGGGGTTGGCCTGCTTAGAACCTGCTCTATGACTTACTTAGCTCCAAGTACAACCACTTCCCGCACCCTGTAAGCTAAGCCCTCAGTCCCTGAATCCCAAACCCTTCAATTTTAAACCCTAAACCTCTAAATCCTACACCCTCCACCCCCAAACCTTTAGACTCAAACTTCTAACCCCTAAACCCCCAAACCCCCAAAAACCCTACACCCTACACCCTTAAGCCTAACCCCTATTAACCCTAATCCCTAAACCCCCCAGGTCAAGTCCAGGGTGCCGCTTGTTTCTCGATCCAGTCGATGGCAAAGACCGTAGTTTTGGTCCTGGCATGTTGTTGCTGTAAGAGGCCCTAATGGGGACCCCTTGAGGGATTGTATAGTGATACTAAAAACTGTCCCAATTATGGGGATTCAAGGAGTAGGGTTGAGGGATTCGGATTTAAGGATGTTACGAATATTGCCCCAATAGCGACATGGTAGATCACATGGAAACTGGATTTATCTGTAGGGAATCAAAGGGAGCGCGTGCTGTAGGGGCCTGAAGAATTTGCAATGTCATGTGAGGATATATTGGAGGTACTCTATATCATAATTGTGCAAGGAATCTAGGACCAGGTCACTGTCTAAATTAATCCCTACATAATCCCACTTTCTATGTTACTTTCCATGTTCTTCTCCATCTGATTCTCGACTTATCCCCCAATCCTATAGATCCCTACATATTCCATTCTGTCAGCTTCTGCAGTTCTCTCCTTGCTTGTCGGGCCTAGGGCTGAGGAATTGAGATCCAGGGTGGTATGGGTCAAGAGTTCAGCGTTTAGGGTTTGTCACTTGTGGTTGTGTAAGTATTAGTGGAGAGCAGGGTGGTCTCAGCAAACCAACCGTAAGCCAAGCTTGCCCAAACAGAATCAGTGGTACGTGAGGGAAGGGATCTGTCCACTAAACCCTTAAACCCTCAACCCTAAACCCTGAGCGTAGCAGGATTTCCAGGGGAGGCCACCAAATGCGGATTAGAGAAGCTTCAGACAGCAGTGTACAAACGCAAAACCCCAACCCCAAGGCCCCGAATTTGGGATATATAGGGATAATGGAAAAGAAAAAGGAAGCTACTATAGTATCATAGAGGTTATATTGGGAGAATGGAAAATGGAATGGAAACTACTATAGTATAATAGGGTATATCTAAACCTTCAAAAACTTAAGCGAGCTCTCGAGGAACCACATCGAAGAGATTGGGAAACTGTTCGCGGTCGGCTTCATGCTTCAGCTGGATCCACCAGTGAATGTACCTAGTCATAGCTGCTTTTAGGGATGTCTGGGATTTGGCTTGCAGGTTTAAGGTCTGGGGGCTTAGGGGCTCTTGGTTTCGTGAGTACATGGGCTTGGTATCCAAGAGGGTCGACGAAGACTTCGAGCTCTACAAAAACTTATGGCGTTTAGGGCCTACGGCGAATTTAGGGCGTGTATCCCTGGAGCTCCGAAGAAATGAAAAAGTTTTTTTTGTTAACAGACTGTAGGGCCGAGTCGCAGGCATTGTTTAAAGACATTGGACCCAAACTAGGTATTCTTCATTGTATAGGGTGTATACAGGGACAATTCGAAAAGAACATGGAAACTAGTTATATAGGGACCATGGAAAAGAAAATGGAAACTACTAGGTCGACGGGTCATAGAACGCCGTGGCGTTTTTTACGATTCTCGATTCGTCGCACATCCTGTTTTCCCTACGCCTGCCAATGTTTCGTGCATTGTGCAGAAATTACGCTTGAAAATCGTCGGATCGAGGCGTACCGGTAAGAATTAGTTTTGGGTGGTTTTAAGGCCTCCAT